GCAGGCAGCCCCATCCCTCTGGGAGCTCTCCCGGGGACACCCAGGCTGAGCGTGGTGGGGGCACCAAGGGCTGCAGGGGGCTGATGGTCCCCACCATGGTGATGGTGCTCCCTCTCCATCACCACATCAGCTGGCCCAGGCTCCGGCCTCCGGCGAGGTGAAGGAGGGCAGGAAATCCCCAAGCAGTGACCAGACTCTGAGGTGCTTTCCAGCCCCTGCTGTGTGACAGTTCCAGGGGACTGGAAGTCCCTGAGGACAAACTGTGCAATCTCCTGGGACACGATGTGCAGGAAGCTGAAGCCCAGCTTCTGGCTGGTTTTCCAGCAGAAAATTGGAATGTTATCAAAATGAAATTTTCCCTACAGTGCATTTCAAACATGCAAATCCTGGTTTTCCCTCAGAAAATGTTCGCAGTTGAACTTCCCACCCCTCCTACTGCACATCTGACTGTTTCTGCACATTCAGTTCCCTCTGCTTGCACAGGAGGTGGTCTGGGGTTTCTCACCATCTCTGCCTCCAGCCATTGACGTTCCATGTCCCATCCTCTTACCTCTGCCCCAGTATCCCCCTGCCTGCCCAGGAGCACCTCGGTGCTCCCGACTGGCTGCTTGCCTCTCGTTGGAGCCCCCATCCCTGTGTGTGCCCAGCTCCTGGGGCAGGCAGAGCTCTGCTGGGTGCTGGGAATGTCTCTGCACACGGGTGGTGCAGGGGGAGAGACCCCTCCATTCTCACTCCTGCTGGAGGGGATGCTGCAGCTCCTTTCTGTGACAGCAGGGATTCAGATGTGCCAAACACTCTGCTCAGGAGGGTGGCAAAGGCCCTGGGGGCCTGTAGCTCGTTCCTGTGGGGAGAGCTGGGGAAAGGCTACATGGATGCCCATGGATACCTGGAGCAGGGAGCTGTGCTGCCTGGGTTCTCCAGCAGCCATTCTGAACTGCAGAGTAGGCTGGCTCAGTCCCTCTCAGCTGGGAAAGCATTCAGGACGAGCACAGGGACTTAGGGACTGCAGTCCTTCCTGGATGTTGCTTGGAAAATAGTGGGAGACAGGGCTTGAACACACAAAAGCAACTAAGGGGCTGCTCAGACACTCCCACCTTGGTTTCCACCCCATTGCTCCTTGCAGCTCTCCCACCACAGGAAGCACAGGAACCCCTGGGCACCTTCCCCTGCAGCCTCCAGCCCCTGCCTGCCTGTCTGGGCAGCTGATCCCGTGACAAGGACGTCCTGCTGTGTCCCAGCTGTCACACAAAGCACAGTGCCAGAGCAGTGGCAGTGAGGACACACTGTGCCAGCCTCCAGGAGGGCTGTGAGGAGCTGCTGGGGCCCTGCACCTGCCCTTGTCCCCTGTCCTTGCCTAGAGCTCAGGCTGGGGTTTGGTGCTGTTCTCTGTCCCTGCCCTGGAAGGCAGCATGCTCCAACTGCATCCACTCTCCCCTCTGCTGGAGCAGCTCATGGGGATTTTTTCCTCCAAGTATTCTGAAGGGTAGTTTCTCTGTTTTTCAGCCTCTTTGTAAAGAATTGAGCCCCAGATCTGCAGGCAGCCTTCCTGTGCAGGGTTCCCCAGTGCTTCCTGCAGAGGTTCAAGTCATTGCCAGCTGCTGCTCTGACTCCTCAAGGTGAATCCAAGGACAACGATGCCACCTTTTTGTTTGGAAATTCATGATCTCTGACCCGCAGGTCAGTATTAGAGACCACACATACCGTCAGTGCCTCCACTGGATCTGCAGTCATGTCCAAAGAGCAGGACCAGCAATACTTGCTTCTGTTTTCATGGCTCTACACTGGCTGTCCTAAAATACATTCCAGTTCTGTGCTTATCAAAGAGCCCAAGTGATCTGGCATCATTATTTGCTGTCTCACAGATTTTATCACCACTGATTGCTTCCAGAGCAAAGGCAGGAATACTGAAGTGGCAACTGCATTGCAAATCCTTTCATCCCTGTAGGAACACCCACGTCCCATGGCATCTCCTCAGTACCAGGCCTTGGAGCCTGGCCATGGGCACTCTGCATGTGCTTTGCTCCATTTTACACCTCAGATTAACCTTGCAGCTGCACACAGGAAGCATTTCCACAGCCTGTGTTGCAGTTATTGCTCTCAATTCCATTTCAGCTTTCTCAAAAGAATAATTTTTTGGTAGCTCCACAAGGAGTGGCACAAACTGCATATTCCTAATATTTAATTTTGTCTTCTATGAAATTCCCTATTGCCTTTTCTACCACCAGGACTGCTGCCTTACCCCGAGGCAGGGGAAGCTTCCAGCTGGGTTCAGCGCTGCTCCTCTGAGGTCTCCAGGTTGTACCCTGGGTGACTCTGGCCTTGGGAGGAGTTACAGCCATCACTGGTGAGGGGACACCTCACCCACAGCTCTCCCATGTCGTGTCCAAACCCTGCATCCAGGAGGTGCCGCATGAAGAGCAGGATCACACTGCACTAATTGCTACCTGCCAAGCCAGGTCAGTTCTTGCCCTCAGTCATGGCCAAGGAGGTGGCCACGACGTGCCAGGAGGCAGCGACGGGGAAAGCAGAGAGCATCCCTGGCTGCCAGGACCAGCTGGGGGATGTGGCTGTGCTCCCCACACACAGCTCCTGCCTGGGAAAGCCCTGCACGCTCCTCTGCCTTCAGAGGATCAAAGAGCCTGAGGACACAGCGAGAGGGAGACTCGTGTGGTGACAACATCTGTGCTGGCTGTGGGGCATTGTCATCCGGGCTGCTTCTGCTGCCAGCACTGCACCGAGGGGAGCACGACCTGAGAGGGAAGCAGGCGTTTCTCTGAGCTCCACAACTGTGCCAAAAACAAGAGCCTCTGGAGATAAAAAATAGAGGCACAGAGGGAAAAGCCTGCCAGCACGGTAGGCTCCATCCTAAGCATGATCATCCCACAGTCCTGGGCAGCACAGGAGGGACTCAATAGCTGCACTCCTTCACCCTGCAGGGAGCTCCAGGCCATAACTGGGAAATAGCTCCTGCACTCCAAATAACGTTCCAAAGCCTGCCTTTTTCCTTTGTCTTCCCTGCCAAGCCACCTGCTGTGGCCAGGTCTTCACTTAGTTAATCTACAGCCATCGCACCCACCAGGATCCAGGTCTGTGCAGCCCACTCCAGAGCATTCTTCCCACAGAACCCACTGCAGGTGCACCTGGTAGGCAGAGGAGGGAATGGAGTCAGCTCTGTGCAGACTGAGGGCAGGGATGCAGCCCTCTTTGGCTTTCACCCTTTGTCCCTTCAAGACAAACCCACCTCGTGTGAATCCAGCAAGGCCTTCAGCTCCATGCGTGGGGGCGTAGGAATGACATGGTGACACTGAAAAGGGTTAAGCTTTCCTGGAAGTCTTTTCCAAGAGCACAGCAGGGTTGGTGTGGAGCTCCACGCCAAGCACTGCAAGAGTTAAGGCGAGGTGAGGCCATTTTCCTTCTCTCACGGAGCACATCACGACCTCCATGGGTTTCATTGCCTCCCCAAGCAGTGGTCTGCAGCTTCCTGAGAGGGTCTCAGGGCTGGAGGAGGCTGCAGAGCCCCCGAGCCCGGCACGCTGAGCCCTGCAGCGTTACACAACGGCCATTTTGCTCCTGCATGTGGGCAATGTGGGACACAGGCAAAATGGTTTCCATGGCAACTCGCACTTCAGAGATGCCAGTGAGAAAATTTGCGTTGGGGGAAAATATTCTGCTTCAACTCACGTTGCAAAGGAAGGACAGAGGTGGGCTGCAGCAGCACCCCAGAAATGGCGGTGTGAAAATAGCCCTGGTGGTTTTGGTTCTGCACTGCTCGGTCTATTCCCTGCCTGGGCTGGCTGTGGTGTTTGTCCCATGCAGTGACAAAGCAACATCTTCTCACTACCTGAAACCCTGTTGTTTTTCTCCAAAAAGGCTGAAGTGGCAGGTCTGGGGAGCAATGTGCTGCTCTGGCCACCTCACCCCTCTGGCCCTGTAATGGGACAGACACAGTCCAAGAGAGAAACTCAGTCTCTTTCTGGCATGGAGCTGGACTACCCTCCAGATGTGGGCCACTGGCTGCTGTGCCTCCATTTCCTTAAGGGAGGCTAATGGTAGCCCAGCAACAGGTAGATGATGAGAACCCCAAGAAATCTCCTCAGCAGAGAAATCTTAAGGTCATATCCCAGAGTAATTTGGTGAATTTAATGGAGGAAAATGGCTGGTTGCCCTGTGAGCTAATGTCTGGAGGAGTGGTGGCTCTGTCTGGAGGGACAGAGTGAAGCCAAGGAACCAGGCTTAGTGTCTACTGAACATCTCTGCCCAGGGGCTGGGCTGGTCAAGAGAGGGTTCCCCAGCACTGGAGTGCACACAGACCATGACAGAGTCCATGTCACACACAGCCGTCCCCAGGCAGAGCTGCGGTAGTGTGCAGAGGTGCTGCATAACTGGGAATATTGATGTGGAGAACAAACCCATGCACCGTGTTTTATCCCCAGTCCCTGGTTTAGTGAATGCCTGGCGTGTCCGTGCCTTCAGGGCACCGGGAATGCCCAGATCCCGAAAGGGCACTGCGGGTGAAAAGGGCGGAGCGGGACGCCCAGAGCTCAGCCCCGCACCAGCTGTGCACCTCCCGCTCGAGCGGCTCTCGCAGGAGGTGCGGGACGCGGGGCAGCGGGGCCCTCACCCTGCGAGCGGCGCCACCGAGCCCGCAGCACCCCGCAGCACCCCGCGGGAGGGAGGGAGGGGGGCTCTGCCGCAGCGCCGGGGCGGGCGGGGGTCCCGGGGGCGGGCCGGGGCGGGCGCTGCGGCAGCGCGGGGCGGGCGGGGCGGGGCGGAGCGGCGGCAGCGGCGAGGGCGCTTCAGCACCGGGGAGAGCGCCCGGCAGCGCCCGCAGCGCCCGCAGCGCCCGCAGCGCCCGCAGCGCCCGCAGCGCCCGCGCCGAGCGCCGAGCGCCGGGCACGGCCCGGGCCAGCCCGATGCGGCCGCGCTGAGCCGGGCGGGCGGCCCGCGGGGCGGGCGGGCGGGGGGCGCGGGGGGCCCGGCGGGCTCCGGGCCGCCCGTGGATGAGCACCATGCGGCTGCTGCTGCTCGCCCTCCTCTTCTCCTCGTCCTTCGCCCGCGCCGGCTGCGACCCTAAGATCGTCAATATCGGCGCGGTGCTGAGCACCAAGAAGCACGAGCAGATCTTCCGCGAGGCGGTGAACCAGGCCAACAAGCGGCACGGCACCTGGAAGCTTCAGCTCAACGCCACCTCCGTCACCCACAAGCCCAATGCCATCCAGATGGCCCTGTCCGTCTGCGAGGACCTCATCTCCAGCCAGGTACCCCGGGACGGCGACCCCCTCCCCGCCCCGGCCCCGGCGGGACCCGAGCTGCCGCCCCGCGGCCACCCCGCCCCGGCCCCGCGGTGCCCCCCGGCCGAGCCGCGGCGTGCGGGGTCCTGCCCGGGCCCGGGGCCGCTGCCCGCATTGCAGCCTTTATGTAAGCGCGGCTGGCTGCGCGCTCCGTGCACCCCCGGGCACAGCCGGGCTCCCGCACACAGCCCGGGCACATGTGGGCACCCACAGACACCCTGGGGAACAGCCGGGCGCCTGCACAGAGCCTGGGCACCCACAGACACCCTGGGGAACAGCCGGGTGCCTGCACAGAGCCTGGGCACCCACAGACACCCTGGGGAACAGCCGGGTGCCTGCACCCAGCCTGGACACACACGGGCACCCACAGACACCCTGGGGAACAGCCGGGCGCCTGCACAGAGCCTGGGCACCCACAGACATCCTGGGGAAAAGCCGGGCACCCACACCCAGCCCAGGCACTCACAGACACCTTGGGGAACAGCCGGGTGCCTGCACCCAGCCTGGACACACACGGGCACCCACAGACACCCTGGGGAACAGCCGGGCTCCCGCACACAGCCCGGGCACACACGGGCACCCACAGACACCCTGGGGAACAGCCGGGCGCCTGCACAGAGCCTGGGCACCCACAGACATCCTGGGGAAAAGCCAGGTGCCTGCACCCAGCCCGGACACTCACAGACACCCTGGGGAACAGCCAGGCACCTGCACACAGCCCGGGCACACACGGGCACTCACAGACACCCTGGGGAACAGCCGGGTACCTGCACACAGCCCAGGCACATGTGGGCACCCACAGACACCCTGGGGAAAAGCCGGGCACCCACACCCAACCCAGGCACTCACAGACACCCTGGGGAACAGCCGGGCACCCACACAGAGCCTGGGCACATACGGGCTCGCACACATTGCCCGGGGCACGCATGGCCACCTGCAACACCCACCCGGGTCCCACATGGGCTCACACACACGCCCCAGGGTGCACATGGGCATCACACGCCCCCGGGTATACACGGGCTCACACCAGCACCCCGGGGCACAGAGAGGCACCCCCACAGCCCTGGGGCACATGCGGGCACACACACCCACCCCTCAGGGCACACAGGGATCACACGCACTCTGGGGTGCACGCAAGCTCCC